CTGTGATTTCAGCATCTGCCTTCTCACTAAATAGGACATAAATACATGAACAACATCCCCAGAACTGCTCTGAGAGTCAAAAATATATAGTTTCTGCCAGAAATGTATTACTATTGTTCAGTTGAATGTACGTACAACTACTACTACTAAAATTATTAAGGAATAATCACAATATTTCTTCCATGTTTTAATTTTAATTGTAAATCCCCTTCGTTTGCCAAAAAATATATTTATTTATTTTCATTAATTAAAAGATAAATTAAATTAATGTGTTATGTCTTCATTCGATAACCAGAAAAATTAAAATACACAACACAGAATTTCTAAAGAAAAAAAAAACATTTCATAAGGCTATAAATAAAAGTAGTTTTTATGCATTCAAATAATTAGACATATTAAAACACAGAATTTGGTAACAATAAACAAGGTGAAAAAAATAGAACATTTCATAAGACCCTAAACATGTAATTTTTGTTAAACTTTTTAATAGATTTGATGTTGAATTGTATACGTTTCATTATTTAATTAGACGTGCTTTTGATTAATAAAATTTAATTTAACCATTTAAAAAAAGGAGTCCAGAAAAATTAAAATGGAAAAAAAAAACAGAATCCCAAAAAATTTAAATTTTGAAAAAAAAAAAAAAAAAAGGAATTTGGGAAAAAATAAAACGTATTTCATAGCATAGTTATTTATTTATTGTGGTAATTTGAAGGTTGTGTCAAAAAGTTGTTGTTCTAGTCTAGTAGATAAATAGCTGTATTCTGTACGTTTTTACACGTGTACGATAATTTTCTTCCAAATACGATAATTTTGAGCTTCTGGTACGATACTTGAACATTTCCAATCTGGCAACACTGATGCCGTGAGTTGCGCCCAAAGCCCACTAGACTGTGACCATGTGCTGATTCTGAACGCGTCTGAACTGTTTGTGAAATGGAGCTTTGTGCTCGTGTATCCTATCTCTCTCATTCGGCACAAATCCAAATATTCCATCATATTTCCATATTTGCGATGTATGCCTTTGATAAAAGGCTGCATTTATCAAATAAATGCAGCCTTGATGAGCAGAAGAGACTTCCTTAAAAACATTCAAACTCTTACTGATCCCAAACTTTTGAGTGGCAGTGTATATTCCATTTTAGATATTTATTTAATATTTAATTCAAATATATTTATTCTACACACCACATCTCACCTCATTTCAATAGAACTACACTAAAAAAAGAAGTGTAACCCCAACAGAAATGTGAACAACAGAGGGTTTCTTCATGCGAAGTTAAGAAACTGTTGTGAAAGTGTGTGGTGTTGTACGTCACTGTCGCACCTTCAGCACAGGAGCTTTCTCCTCGCAGATCAGCACACGGATGTCAGGACTGCGCAGGTCTGTGCAGTATATCTTCCGGTCGCGGCCTCCGGAGTAAACGTGCGTGAAGGCCTCGTTGACCTGCAGCGCCCAGACGCCCTCGTCGTGAACGCGGTACGTGGCGATACACCTCTGCTGACCCAGAGACCAGAGCCGGATCGTCCCGTCTGAGCTCCCTGAGAGACACTGAGCACACAAAAACCAGCTCGTTTAGAGCTCAAAGGCTTTTAAAACCTTCTACAGTCGACAATAAAACAAGAATGAGACTGCTGTTTGTTCTTGCAAGACTTGAGGAAGGAGGAGTTTGAGGCCTGAAACACACATGTGATAGGATTCGACCCTAAAATCCATGGATTTGATCCTACTTCAAAAGTGAAGAACAAATCGGGAATTATAAAGGTAAAAACTGACATGAAAATGTTCTAATGCATACATACAGCAACTCAAGAGCATGCACATTAACTTATATATCAGGAATTTAAAAAATCTATTGTTTATTAAAACGTAAAGATAAATAGACGATCATATTATGCATTTATTTAGTCATTTATTAGACGCTTTTATACAAAGCATTTAATGCATTAATTCTAATTCTATTCTTTATAAAAAAATTAATTTAAAAAACTTGCCCCTTTTAGGCTTGCACTATTTATTTACTAACTAGCTTGTTTTCTTTAAAAAAAAGAAAAAAAAAAAAAACTATCACTTGCTTCTCTAATCTTTTTGCATTCTATCTATTTGTTTTCTTTTTATTTATTATACAATTATAATTCTGACTTCTGATTAACAAAAGCAAAAAAGGCCTCTAACACTAGATTGCTCTATTCTTTTTCTATTCTATCTGTTTTCTTTTTATTTAGTATATGATTTAAAAAAACCTTGCTATGTGTACTGTGTTAAGCTAACTGAGACTTGTTATAGCACTTGCATATCATTGCTCTTTTGTTGATTTTGATTGCTTCTATTTTCCTTATTTGTAAGTCGCTTTGGATAAAAGCGTCTGCTAAATGACTAAATGTAAATGAGGAAATGCATTGTGGTCCTCTGGTCTGTTTTTTAAAACACTTTGCACCTTTGTCACTTTTTTCACTTTTGCATATGGAAAATAAAAACTACATTTTTGAGAGACCTTTTTTGGTCTGATTGAAAAAAAAAGTTCAGTGTGCGGACAAATTCAGCGACTTGTTGGACTAAAATGTTCTCCCTTTTGCTCAACGCACCTGAGAACTCATTGTTCTTTTTGAGCGCACACAATTCCTGCTTGATAAATGCATTGTGGTCATTGAAATTAATTAATTAAAAGTTGTTAATAATTAAAATTATTACAAACAAAAACAACTTTTTTTTAATTTATGAAAGATCCCTGGTGGTTTGTGATGGAATTGCAGGGAGTACATTAAAAACTTGTAATTAATTAAATCAATGTCAAATTTAAATAATTTTTAAATAAAAATAATTTTTACAAAATTCTATTACATTTAAAAAATATTTCAAAATTTTATAAGAATTTCAAAAAATATATATAAAATAGCCACTAAAAAATATGAACATGTAAATGTGTTGTTTTTGAAAACAATTGAAACATTAACTTAAAATCTCAGAGGGCTCGAAAGGGGTTTGACGGACAAAATGTGTGTGAATGTTTCTAGTTTGTAGATGGACAGACTGACAGACAGCACCTGAGTCCCGTCTCTGTTGAGCAGCAGGGACTTGACGTTGTCCGTGTGTCCTTTCAGTTTCATTAGTTTGGCACAGGTTCGCGGGTCCCACACTCTCAGAACCTGACAAACAAATCAACAAAACAAAGACAATCTGAAACTACCAGCATCACAAAGAGAGTCAGAGCATCAGGCATTTGTATAAATAACACATTTCAATTTTAAGACCAGAAGAATGTAGGTAAAATTGTGAGAAATAGAGAACGCAATATATTGATGTGCACAGCCCTGGTACATAACTCTGTACAACAAAATTACTGTAGAGATGACATGTAATGAAAATTAACTTTTTACATGATCTTCATTAAAAGAAAATCACAATCCAGTTAAGTCCCAGTTTCTGCAATGCATTTTCCACAGAAAAATACACCACATTAAGTAAGTTAAATGCATTTTAATGAAAGATTTACGGATTCAAACCTTTTCAGTGGATCCTGACACTATAACCGTCCCCATCTGATTCATGGCCAGACTATAGATGGAGTCCTTGTTTCCGCTGAGAGAAGACGCTGTACAACAAAGAATATTGATCCTTTACATAAACTAAAGTCTAGGATTTGTTGATTCTTTAATACCGAATTTGGGTCTACTAAACTACTGTTTGGATTGCTCATGTCAAAATGTAAAATAAAAAATGTGTTCTTCATATCAGATATTTAAATATAATAATCTAGGGGGAAAATATTTTTTTAAATATATAAAATTAACATCAGAACTCACTAGTAACGGTGTTATTGGACGCGGTCAGCGCGGTCAGTGTGTTCACATCCCAGAGAAAGATCTGTCTGTCCAGTCCTGCAGAAGCCACCAGCTCTTTGTCTTTAGCATATGCCAATGCTTTAACATAGTCCTGCACAAAAATAAGAATACACAAGAAACTATAAAAATAGAAACATACATAATGCACACTTTAATATAGAAAAGCATAAAAAACATTTCTTCAACTGGAAGATTCATACTAGAAACTCTTTGCATTTAATTGAAAACACAAATGGGCTGCAAACCCATGCAGAACAGCGAAATAAAGGGTCAACACATAGTTTGTCTACTATGTTTTTTGAAGGCTTTCTTGGATGTGTTTGGTCATGCACCTGGTTTGTTTGGACGTGCATTTAACATTTTGTCATCAGGCTGATTGAAACCATGACCGTACCTTATGCGTTCGCAGTGTTGACATGCAGAAGCCCTTGTGTGCGTTCCAGACCTTCACCGTAGTGTCTGATGACGCTGATATCACTGCAGACACAACAGACAAACATATCTATCTGTACTGCATTCATAAAACAACATTAGAACTGCACTGTACACGTCAAGCACTCACATGTTTTCCCGTTGCAGCAGAGGACGATGTCATTGACCCAGTCTGTGTGATGCTCCATCGATGCAATGTACGGATCCTGCTGCAAAACACACACACACGCAAGAGCAGGAACGTCATTTCAAAGGCCAGGGAAGTGTTTTGACATCACATGCACGGGTTTAGTGACTGACGGGTTAGTTTTGGTTTAGTTTTGACATCACATGCACGGGTTTAGTGACTGACGGGTTAGTTTTGGTTTAGTTTTGACATCACATGCACGGGTTTAGTGACTGACGGGTTAGTTTTGACATCACATGCACAGGTTTTAAGACTGACAGGTTACCTTGTGATGGTTAATGCTCCATATCCTGATGATGGAGTCTCGCCCGGCGGTGAAGAGCCGGTTAAGAGCTGGATCCAGCTGTAGTGCGTTGACTCCATTACGATTATATTTCTCCACCTCGTCTCTGATCACGTATGACACCTGCAACACACGCATGCTAAGAATTAGAGGTCCACTGATTAATCGGCACAGAACCAGACACTGAAAAAATGCAGATTTTGCCATTTTAGATTTTTTTTTTTTTAGTTCAAAGTTTTTGTTCATAATACTGTTCAGTTTATTTTAATCTCAAAATAGCCTAATCTGAATTAAAATGTACTTTTATTTTCCACCTCGGTTATCATTATCTGCAAAATCAAATATCGGTCAACCTCTACTATGAATCATACTTAAACCAAAGGAACCGATTAATAATTATTGTTATTTATTGGTCTCCTAAAAATACAACATGGTAAAAGTCATGTAAAAACTTTGAAACTTTTACTTGACTCATTTTCATTAAATATAAATATATTAAATATAAATAAAATACAGATTATCAGTTTCGGAAGAGCACAAAAAGCATACATTTTAATTTTTAGCAACTTTTGTGTCAAAAAGAAATATAGGCAAAAATTTGCATTCAATTTCATTTAAAATATATATATACTTTTCGGAACAACTAGGCCTAGAATAAATACAAGTATAAATGTGACTTCATGACAACAATTAATTAAAAAACACTTTTACTTAAAAACAATGGAATATAAATATATTATGATTTTCATCCCATTTAAAAAAAAAATGCTACATAAAAGACAAATCATTCTCAAGGTTTTTTTTAAGTATGCTAGAAAGGCACCTTTACAGATGTCTTCAGATGTCACATATTTAAAGCAGAATTCACAACAACAATGTTCAATACATCACACAAAATCAAATGTTTTGTTTGCAAAGCTTAAACACACCTTCATGATAAAAACATGCATAATGTGTACAGTATGCAGGCATTTACAGTACAGTTAGGGTTTATAAGTGCTCATACTCCAATATACATCCGTTTAGTTTGTATCGTGCTCATATTTATCCGCTCATGTGTTTAGATCTTTATATATTCATTATGCATGTGCTTATAGGGATATGCATACATGACCATATCTGTTCAGCATGCTATGTGCATATATGGTCAGTATGCATATACTTAAGGAAGGATGATTGTCATGACAACGACCAAAGATACGAGATGACCTGTTAAAACCCTAAATATGTGACCAAAACCGGTTCATCTTTCACTCTGCAGCCCATAACGATCATCTAAACCTCGACACAGCCTGTTTATATTATAATGAGCTGCAGTAAGCAGTCCATACAGACTCAGTATGCTGCATTCTGACTCAAAACACGCCACAAAACTGCAGTACGGTAGGCAGCACACTAGATTTTGAGACACAGCCTGGCCTCCACCTCCCTGTGCGCCACACAAACGCTCACATCCGCGATTGAAACAGCCGTCACACAACGATCAACGAGTCTGAATGCCACTATCATCACACAAATAACACTCGCACATCACAAGCGTACTCGCAAGCGTCAAACATTCACCTGCACTTTCCTGCGCCCCGCTGCATTCTGCCTGTGATGCGTCGCCATCTTACATGTTGACGTCGTGATGTCACTTCCGTTACGCCACGAAGAGCCGCCGGTCGAGGCGGGAACAGAATGAATGAATAAATAACTATAAATAAAAGCCCAGAACACCACATATTCATAGCATTAGAGTCATAATATAGTATTTGCATATAGTTTTATTCATTTATTAAAAGAAAAACAGGCTATTAACTTGGTGGCCGTTCATGCAGAACGCGTTTTGCGTTTAAAAAACGCAAAGGAAATAAACAAGGTTTAAAAACGCTTTATAAAGCTTTATGTACTTTAGGATTAACACAGCTTTGGATAGTTTCCATGTCAACTCTGAAAAAAGAAAAGAGAGGTTTAGAGACAGATTTTTGTTTATGTTTGTGAGATTTCGCTAGCAGGGAACAAATTAAGTTATATTTTGCTATATTCTCTTTTGAGTTTAGTCAAACAATAAAAACATCTGTGATGTTGTTGGTTTTACATAATCAAAATTGTGTTATTATTGTCTGATTAATATGCTAAGATAAAAACTCTTGATGAATTATGAGTTTTAGCTACCATAACTATAAATAAAGATTTTAGATGACATGAAACTGTGGTCAAAAGTCTACCATAAATGTGAAAATGTTGGGGTAGTTGGATGTGGAGGTCTGTTGTCTGCTGTTAAATCAATGTCAAAATCAGCCTACGTCCTAGGCCACCTTTGTAGTGTAAAGACATACTGAAAACGATGGAAAACCAGTGTGTTTGGCCACTTATTTGCAATACAGTAATATATACTGAGTGTATACCTTTGCAGTGTAAATTTGGCACTATAGTATAAAAGTATACTGTTATTTTTCCCCTGTTGAAAAAAACAGCATATGCTGGTTAGGTATGTTTTGAAGCTGGGATGCTGGTTTGAGCTGGTCCTTTGCTGGTTTATGCTGGTCCTTTGCTGGTTTATGCTGGTCCTTTGCTGGGTTGAGCTGGTCCTTTGCTGGTTTAAGCTGGTCCTTGACCAGCACATGACCAGCATAAACCAGCACAGGACCAGCATAAACCAGCAAAGGACCAGTTTAAACCAGCTCAAACCAGCATCCCAGCTTCAAAACATACCTAACCAGCATATGCTGTTTTTTTCAACAGGGTTGTAGAAATGCATTTATGCCACCTCGCATTAAACAGTTTGTGTAGATACCTAAATGCCACTTCAGAAGTGCTTCTGTGCCACCTTTGCAGTGTACATTTGGCATTGTTGTGTACAGACCACAAGTTTGTTTGGCCCCTTATTTCCAATACATTTCAATTTCACATACAATAGCGCGTATAGCCTACTCAATAATAAAAGATGCAAGCAACACATTTCCACAGTGAGTATTTAAACTATTCATTGTGAATTTAAAACAAAACAACGATGCATCTCTCGCAATGATATTTGAATGAAAGAACATGCATAATTAAAATTACTCTACACAACCATAGTCTGCCCTGTGATAATTTCTCTGACCAACAGATGGAGTTATGAACTCATATTCCACATTTAGTTGAACAAACTTCATAGTCACCGACATATTTTTATCTAATTCGACAAATTATCTTTCTCTCCAGTCCATATGTGTGAGCAAAACCATTTAATGCACTGTATTATCGCCTATATAATTAATGACGTATGCACTGTATTATACCTCACACTGAGTATATTTTATTAGTTATAAAATGGCATTTGCATGCATATGAATAGTCTGTATCTCACTCTACATAAAAAAGCCATGCACACATGACATTTCTGTATTAACTCCCAAATCCTGAGCTTGAAGAACACAATGCGCTTAATATAATATTTAAAGGGAGGAGAAAAACACAACCTATAGCCTATATATTACACACCTAAAACAACCCATATGACAAAACATGATGCACTTTATTCACTTTTTGCGGCTGGAGCAGATGGTGTTCGTGGAGGAGGCGTTACATCGAAGCACTGGCTCTCTGCTGCTCTCAGATCAGTTCAGTCTGAGATACACATGAACATCCAGGAGAAACAGAGCCACAACTTCATGTGCTGGAGTCTCTGTGTGTGTGTGTGTGTGTGTGTGATTGGGAATTGCGGATCAATGGCACAGGGACAGGACAGACATTCGGGATGATGTGAAAAAGAGGGGATTTAAGGGTCTTTTCCGCGTGGATTCACTTCAGACTGAACTTGGAACATTAAATGCGCAACTTGTTTTTATTGCTGGGGATTTTCACCATGGCTTTCCTGTGGCTCTTTCTGTTGATCAGAGGAAATGTGTGAACACTTTTGCACATACACAGCTGAACAGAAGCGAAGTTTCACATGTAAGTAGGTTGCTTTTACTATTTTATCAAAATGCAAAAAAAGTTTAAAATTATTTTTTCGCGAAATCATAGCCTATATCTGTTCCTGAAAGTCTTTGATTGTATAACTAAAATCTAATTACAAACACACAACACGCCTGAAATCAGATTTAAACGGAATTAATCGTAGTCCTTCGCGTAAAATGATTCCTGAACGGGTTGGTTTTGTTTTATGACAATTATATTATGTAATTGTCTATTTTGATGAGTGCATTAATTGGGGAAAGATTCATGTTTTGACGGATGTTTGTGACGCTGTTGATTCTTAATGACGCAATTAAGTCAGAAACACATTTATTGTTGATAATGGCGTTATACTTTAACACAATATACATGCCAAGCGTGCTTGTTTAATCACATCAGATCCGATTTCTGTTATTCTGAACGCTGTCAGTTCGTGTGTGTGTGTGTGTGTGTGTGTGTGTGTGTGGTTTACAAGAACAGGTGTGAGTGTCGCTGTTTTTTTGTTTTTGTTTTTGTTTTTCTTCGTGTTGCGCCTGTGTCGCGCTGTTTTTAAGATTATTGGCTAAAAGTAGTTACACTTTTAAAAAGCATTTTAGCAGTTTTTTAACCTACGAAGAAACACTCCTTGCTGTCTTTAAAGGTCAGCA